TTTTTTTAATTTATTTATTTATTAATGATTTCTGCCTCCTCCCCGCAACCGCTTCCCATTTCCCTCCCCCTCCCCCGATCAAGTCCCCCTCCGTCATCTGCTCGAAGAGCAATTAGGGTTCCCTGACCTGTGGGAAGCCCAAGGACTGCCCACCTCTATCCAGGTCTCGTAAGGTGAATCTTCTCATAGCTGTTTTGAAATCTTCAAGACAGGATTGTTAGCCATAGTAAACTGCTTTGCCATGGATAACTAGAACCCGTTTCTTGCGTCTTCCATAACTTTGCCCCTGTTGACCTATCATCCCAACCCCAGCCTCTGGCAGCCCCTTGCTTTCTTTTCTGAGACCAGCTTCTTCAGGTTCTACATATAAGAGAGAACATACCCTATGTGCCCCTCTGTCTGTCTTATTCTATTAAACATAATGTTTTCAGTGATTATCTGAATGTATTCAGAGAGGTTACTGCAAATGATAGGATCTTATCTTTTCAAAGAATGAATAGTGTTCCGTTGAGTATGTGTTCCCTGTACTTTCTCCTTCCATTCATCCATTGGTGGATGTTTGTGGTAATCCCATATCTTGGCTTTATGAATACTGTCCCAGTAAGCATGGGATACAGGTGTCCTCTGAACACAATGGTTAAAATTTCCTTTAGATGCAGTGAATTGCAAAGCCCATTTAAGCATAAGCTTGACAGTTCTTCATTGAGCCAGTCTTGACTGTTCTCAACTCCTACGCAGCTTTAGCTTTGGTCTAAAGTTAGGAGTTTGAGAGGAGGAGGCACTAAAACGGAATCCCTCCCTGTTGGCTTGTCCCACACTATTCTGCCAGCTCTCCCCATGGCTCATATGGGATTGCCCATCCCAGCTCTCAGTTTCTACCTGAACATCTGGACTTGGGGAGGAGGTGAAATTGGGTAAACCTTGGCATTCACAGTGGAGCAAGGAACAGGGCTCTAAGAAAGTAAGCCATGTTTCTGGATCCCCCTAGTTAGACCGTACCTCAAAAAAGAGGAGTGGACGGCAGACTGGTTGGGAGAAGCACAAGGTGGTAGTACTGGCAGAACAAACATCATGAATCTCATTCAGAAGCAGACAACGACAATCAGATATGACTGTCTTGTGTTAGTGTCAACAGACTTAGTGACCCAGATTTCTTGTGTGGTTTCTATAGTGTAGCTAGGCAGACAGCACCATGCCGGTTTTCTTGGGAAATACCATCAGCTGAAGAGGAGAAACTCAGAAGATCTGGTTGTGTGGAGTGTGGTGCAGCTGGCTTCACTGCCCGGTGACCACCAGCCCCTCTTGCTGCCTGCTGGCTCACTGCTGTGCAGCAGACTGACCACTCTCTTCCCCTGTTCCTCTCTGTCCAGCTCAGAGCCTGCAAGATTCTATCTGTTGAATGGCTAACGCAGTCTATAAATGAACTATCCCTAGTTGAAAACATTGTAAGATACTTGCATCAGAATCTCTGCTAAAAAAAAAAAAAAAAAAAAAGCAAAAAGTCCAGCTCTAGCCAGTGCCGGCTCATTTTACAATCAGCTGGTATTACAAGGCAGTGAAAGTTCTGGAGTGCTTTTTTTTGCATTCTCTTCCATCTTGTCAACAAAGGGATTTGACCTCCCTAACTGAGCAATAGATGACGCTGTTTATTTTTCTCATGAGTAGAAACTATGCGGTATACAAAAGTAAACTTTGATTTACCTATGATGCTCCATATAGTATAACCCACTCTGCTCATCATGAATGTTGGGCGCTGTGAATTGAATAGAAAGCTATAGCAACTGCCTGCCACTCAGACCCAGGACTGCTTTGTGTTCCTGCTCTCTGGGCCCTATTTTCCCAGCCAGCTGCCTGCTGCCTACTGTTCACATTTCAATGACACTACAGTAGGAAAGACCCCTTAACAGTGCGTTCCTGGTCTATGTGTCCCTCTCAAAGAGCATCCTGCTCCTCCTTGTCTCCAGCCAGGTCCTCCCTAAGCCAGAAAGGAATGTAGGATGAGATTATTTTTAAATTGATTACTTTAAACTATATTGCTACTTAAGGGAAGTTGGATGTATTTGCTTTCTGTTACTATAAGAAATGCCTAAGACAAGATGGCATGTTCATTTGGGCCCACAGTCTAGAGCCTGTAGAAGCACATTAGTTTGGGAGCACATGATCAAAGGAGCTCATTTACCCAATGGCTGGGTATGGAAAAGTGAAGGAGGGGCTGAAGTCCCCTTATCCCCCTCGAGAACCTGCCCCAAATAACCTAAGACAGCCTCCCAACTACACCCTCTGTCTTAAAGGCCCCACAACCACCTAGTAGCTGGGGCCTTTGGTGAGATTCAGGATCCTAACCATAGCAAGAGCTTGGATGTAAAAGGGAGAGTGTGTTTGACAGAGCTCCTGAGTGCAGTGGTTAAGGCTACATTCTAAATCCAGACCATCTAGGGTTTGTTTCTGTTCTATTGAAATAAAATTGACATAACATGAAATTAGTCATTTTGGAAATGTGCAATTCAGTACCTTTGAGTACTTCTCTAGTCTGCATGTTTTGGATGTGTGCGACTTCTACATACTTTGGTTTTGAAGTTCATCTAGTCCCCACTCATCGGTATTAGTGGGTTATTATTATTATTATCATCATCATCATCATTATGATCATCATTTTGCCAAACAGTAATCCATTCTCTGGCTATATGAAATTTATTGATAACCGTTCATCTGTCGGTAATAGCTAAACATTTTAGGAAAATGTGTGTGTGTGTGTTGCTCGGGATTGAACCTATGACTTCATCTTTGGCAAATACTCTACAACTGAACTCTTATAGCCCTAGCCCCTCTTACTTTCCTTTCTGAGACAGGGTCTCATTAAGTTGCTAGGGCTAGCCTTGAACTCCCTCTGTAGTCTAAGCAGGCCTTGAACTTATGATCCTTTTCACTGGGCCTCCCAGGTAGCCAGAATTACAGGCCTGATCAAGAGGCTCAACAGCGAATTCTTGCCTGACTTAGTTTGAGCATCCACCTTCTGTTCTCCAGGGCATATACCTAGGTATTACTGGATTATGTTGTAATAATACATTCCATGTTTTCAAACCCACTAAACCTTTACACATCAACACATATGTTTCATATTTCTACCACATTACTTGGCTGTAATTCTAATCCTGTCACATAGTCCTGCTGTTTGAACTTGGACAAGTCACTTCTGCCTTCTGTGATCACAGATGTATCCTGAGGACAGTGATGCTGTCTGCTCAATGAAGATGTCACTTGGAGTGGATTTATGTGTCCAGTGAAAGGCTGAGGAGCACTGGGGCTCCAGGGCCACCATGCAGGGTGTGATGCAGTAAAGAGCTCTGATCCAAACTCCTGGGTTCCTTGCCAAGGCCATCCTCCCTTCAAGGAATCCTATTTCTTACACATTTGGCAGTTTGCCAAAGCTCCATAAGTCTTTTGTTTGCCCTGAAAATCTCAGGGGCTACACAGATCTGGGCCTGCCACTTAGGACTGGTCTCAATTCATGGCTTGGGCTAGGGTGGGAAAGCAATAGAGGGTTGAAGGAAGGCCAGTTCCCCCTCACCTAGCATGGGCTGCTGAGGCTAAAGAGAAGGGGACATGCCAGCTAGCCTTGACCGTGAGCGCCTTGGAGGTGACTTCTTGCTGCCCTTCGTAGATGAGGGCTCAGTGCCTGACTGAGGACAGACCTTGCAAGGAACAGCAAAGGCTCCTATAAGTCCACCCTTCCCAAATGTGGCTCCAAGAAGAAAGGAAGGAAAAGAAAGCAGAGTGGAGTGGACACGCCAGGGTGGGGAAGAAACGGAAGGAGGTTTTGGAGGCTAGGACCAAGGCAGACACTTCTCTTCTCAAGCATATTCTGTCTACATCCAAGTCTGACCTGAAATCAGCAGGTGGGGGACAAGGGAGAGAGCACTCTGGCCACATGGGGACTAGTTTGTGTTCCTGTGAGGTGTTTTCCTAAGGTGCCAGTGCACCTGAAACCCACTTGTCCAAGGTTCTGGCATGACCGAAGGCCTGGTCCTTACTTACCTGCTAGAGGTACTGTGGCCTTTGCTGGTCGGGCTCAGAGATTTAATGGCATCACTGGGAGGGGCGCCCACTGGAGGGCACTTGCTTTGCTGTAGCTTCTCCTAAGAACCCAGGGTTGGCTCTGCTACTAATGGGGTTGGCAAACAGGAGCGTCCATGGCTTCTCATTATACAAAAGAGATGTTGTTCAGATCCCTCCCTCTGTCCACAGGAAAGGGTCAGTGACACAAGTCATAGCCTTTTGGTCTTTGTGATGAGGCCACCGTACCAGTATGTCCTAGCATCTGTCATACAAGCATAAGCACCCCTGCTGTCTTGCCGCTTTCCCAGAGCTATCCCCAAAAGCAAGTCCGCACTGTTGTGGGAAAGCAGAGGTCAATCCAACATGTGTGAATGCCTGTTGTGTATGGAATGATGTAAGTACTTCCTAGGCCCACGGGGTGCTGGGGCAACTTCCCGGCCTTGTCTCTGGCACTATTTGCTGGAGCATGGTCTACAAACAGTTCTTTTCCTTACCGTGGCAAGGTGGAGGTCACTGACATTGACTCGTAATACTTATACTGTCAGAAATGCCTGGAGAGTCATAACGAGCTCAGAACTCCAGGTCCTATGTCCTGAAATCAGACTCTGTGCTTAGCCCAGGCCATCAGACCTGTGGGGGAGCACCTACCATGGGGACTGTGGTGCATCCAGCATGAAGGAACCAGCCCCTCCATTATTCAAGCTGCTGTTTCCCTAACCATCATCCCCCCACAGACTGAAAATATGTAGTCCTTGGTGGCAAGTGGTATTTCTGTGGTAACACATGACACATACCTGGATCCTGCCCCACTAGGTTTGCTGTTAGCAGGTGATACCATACCATCGTGATGTGGCAACCCATGCATGAGAATAAGGCCTCCTGCTTTCAGTCCATGTGCAAACATGTTTCTCACTCGCCTGCTTGCATTCTCTCCTCGTCTCCAGGACACACAGGATCAGCCACTGCTACCGCATCACCTACCGCCACATGGAGCGGACACTGTCCCAGAGAGAAGTCAGCAGTGTCCACCAGGCTGTGCAGGAGGCCGCCGTGCAGCTGCTGGGTGTGGAGGGCCGTTTTTGATGTCCTGATTTTCAGGCTGCGGCCCTCATGGACTTCCAAGACTTGCTGGAAACAGGGAAAGATATTGTTTGTGAGCTGGAGTATCTGTCATCTCTTGATAAATGCGTCTGCTTTAGGACTTTGAGGAAATAAAGGATTACTTTTGAGAAGCACTGACGTAGCATTTGTCTTTTGTTTGGGGGAAGGAGAAAGCAGGCACTAATAGAAGAGCTCCCTGCTATTCGTTTAGAAATGCTTGGCCCATTGACTCTCTGCGTGGTTAATTGGTCCCTGGGTTCCATTAAGCACCAGGCATGCTTCTCGCCTGACAGGCTCTTCCACCCATGTAATGAGTGAAGCCACAGAGAAGGGCCTCAGAAACTGGATGTATAGTACAGGCATGCCTAGATTTTGTGCGCCTGCTTCGGTGCAGGTCACAGATCCTGCATTTTGACAAATTGGAGGTTTGTGGCAACCTGTGTTGAGCAAGCCTGTCATTCCCATTTTCCTTCAACTTGAACAATCATTAGTATTTCTTAGCAGTTTTTTTAATTGGGTAAACACATGGGTTTTTCCGACATAAAGCTATTGTGCACCTTAAGGAGGCAGTATCAGGAAAGCCTATACTTCCATATGCACTGGGAGACCAAAGATGCCTGTGCCTTGCTTCTTGATGAATTCACTGTATCGCAGTAGTCTGGAACCAGATCGTCACCCCAAACCACACGTGTCCAGGAAGCCTTTGAATCTCTGCCATCCTTTCTCCCTTCTCTTCTTTGTTTTGCAAAGGGCGGGCTTCAAAGAGGCCACTGATGAAATGCCAGGGCTTCCCCTGAAAGTGGGGAGAGCAGGCAAGGCAGCCATTCGCTTTCATAAGCCCAAGGCCAGGGGCCAGCCTGTTGGCCCTGAGCTTGGACCTTCCTGCCTTCTGCCCTGGTGCAGAGGAAGGAAAGGAGCAAGAACTGCCCTGAGTTGAGGAGACACACCGAGGGCCAACTCTTCGGTTGTTCCCTGCAGGGGGCCTCCCCTTCTGGAAGGAAGGCGACCTTTAAGGGAGAGCAAGGGCTTTGATGTCTTCCCCTTTCCCTGGTACACTTTGTAGTCTGCCTGCTTTCCTCATGACCAGCCTTAATAATCAGATTTCAGGCCTGACAAGATGCTGGAGGCTGATGGAAGACTCTGAGTGCTGGGATAAATATTTGATGAGAGGTGGCCATTATCAGCAAGCATGTAGGGGGCAGGCAGCTGCTCAGAGTGAGGCTGTTTGGAAACAGGCTTATTGTAGATACAATTAGCTAAAAATGACATCTGACTGGGAGAATGGACCCTTTCCCAAATGGCTGGTATCCTGAGAAGAGGACCACATGAAGACAGAGATACCAGGAGAGCTGTCTGTGAGCTCGGCATTCCCAATGACTGTCAACAAGCCATAGGAGACAGGGAGAGATTCCCTATGGATTTCAAAGGAGTGCAAAGATCTGCTGAATACTTGAAATCAGACTTCTGCCCCAAGAACTACGACAAAGTATATTTCTAGTTTGGGGTATGTCTTAGTTAGGGTTTTATTGCTCTGAAGTGACATCATGACCGGGCAACTTTTATAAAGGAAACCTTTAATTGGGGCTGGTTTACAGTTCAGAGATTTAGTCTGTTAACATCATGGCAGGTGGCATGCAGGCAGAGATGGTGCTGGAGGAGGAGCTGAGAGTTCTACATCAGGCAGCAGGAAGTGAACTGCAAAACACATCCTCCAGCAAGGCCACACCTCCTCATAGTGCCCCTTCCATCGAGCCTATGGGGGCCAAATGCATTCAGACTGCCACAGGGTACTTTTAATGGTGGTCCTGAGAACCTAACACATCACCCCAAAACAGGGAAACCACTGCCCTGTCTCATTAAGTCTCTGCAATGAGGGTCTCACCTAAGATTCCTCCTCTTACCTAGGGAGGAGACTGGAAGTCTAACCTAGCCAGGAGACACTGAGCTGTCACATGACTCCTATGAACTGCACCTGGCAGCCTCTTGAGAGGTATGTAACATGGGTATCACTTAAGGGTAAGGGTCTGGAAGTTCAGTCCATACAGCTGAGACTGGGGGTGGAGGGGTGGGCGGGGAGGGTGTCTCCAAACTTTGCAAGCACAGAACTAAGGCAGTCAGCCAAGGAAGGCCTGTCCATGTCAAGAGTGCCCTGGATGGCCATGTGCTCTGCCTATTGATGACCTTGGCACATACGGGCATGTAATAGTTAAATGAGTAACAGAAGAACATGGACTGTCCTTGACACCCAAGACAGGAAGAACAGTTCATAGATGGCCAATGCACGTCCATACCAGTAGGTAACACACCCTCTCTGGAATCTCTAGGAACTTGCCACCCAGTGGCAAGGGATAGAAACATTGAGACTGAATGCTGGCAATGGAGGCCAGGCCTAGAGTGCTTGCATAGAGTGTGTGTGGTCCATGTCTCCATCTGCAGTCTAGAGTCTGGGGCTGTACTCCTGAAGGTGCCTGATGGCCTCTGATCTTGGAATGCAGCAAACTGGGCCTGGTTAATACTTAGGGTCCCAGGGCTCCAAGCAACCTGGACATGAGTTTCAATGGATTCTACAAAGTTGACATCACTAAGCTCTCTCAACTGCCACAAATCATTACATCCCCTGCCTAGGCAAGGAAAAGGAAGCCTTGGTTGTCACAGGCAGTCAGGGGATGCCGCTCCCTTTTGCTCCTGTTTCTCTGCCCTCAAATCCCCGGTCCAGAGGTCAGAACACTATTCTTCTCTCCCTCCCTTCCCTTCCTTCTTCTCCTCCTTCCCATCACTCTTTTCCTTCTCTTTCACCATGGTCCCCTCCCATCATCTTCACCATCCTCCTTCCACCTTGCCCTCCTTCCCTTCCTCCACTCCCTCTCCTTTTCCTTCCTTCCTTCCTTCCTTCCTTCCTTCCTTCCTTCCTCTTCTTCCAGCTCTTTCATGTGGCCCCTCCTTCACCAGCTCTCTACTCCCCTACCCTTTCCTGTCTCCTACCCAGCTACCCTGGAGGAGGCTGCCTTGGCTTGCGTATTCAGACAGTTACAATGCCGTGTAAACTGCAGCTTCTGCTAGGCCTTGCTGTCACCTGCTGGTGAGGGAAACGGCACCTGGTAAATCAGGGTTCCTTTGCCAGGGCAGCTGGCCCTGCTCTTGTCTCTGTGCGTTAATCAGCTCCATGCCCTGATGAGCACAGACTGCAGGGCCTCTCTGCAGCACAGGGAGTTTCCCTGTCTGTTTAGCTCCGACACCACCAAACCCCGGTAGAGGAAGCTAAAGAGTACAGGCTTCCCTGCCTCACGCCTCAGGCCGACCAGCTCTGACAGGTCACGCTGTGCCATTCCAGCTGGGTCCAGCCTGCAGGTGACTGTCCATTTCTGTGTCCATCCAGCAAGCTGTAGCTAGTGTTTTATAAGGACTCACCCTGGGGCCAGGTGAGCATCAGTTTTTGTCCAATGCAGCATCAGAGATGGGAAACACTGCAATGGCCAGGGAAGACGCATTGTAAAGATGGACATGGTAGTTTACAAAGTGGCTAAGAACCCTGACTTTGGACTCTAGCAGATGCAGGTTCAAATGCAGAGCAGGAAGGGGCCCAACTCATCCTAAGAATGAAATGACCGTGTTTGACATAGTTTCTGGTATTAGAAAGGTGAGGGGTACAGATTCCCAGAGAGCCACCGTCCCCATTGAAGGACGGGGAGGCATCTGCAAAATGTGGTTCCAGAAGGTCTGACCTGAAAGAAACTTTAGGACTCATCCAGCACCCCCACCTTAGAGGTAAATTCCCCTAAGCCCATGGGTGTAAAATGGCTGACTGAATTTGGCTAGTTTGGTTGTGAAGATCAGAATGCCCAGCCTAGTCACAGTGACTTAACCAAGCATCCCAGAGAACCAGAAGTCAGAGGAAGCACACTACCACTGAGACCCAGGCCCTTCCCATTCCTTAGCTCTGCTGCCTGTGGTGCATTGACCCTCCAGGGTTGCAATGGGGCAGAGGAACACAAGCAACATATCCCGTGTCTGTGTGCAGGAAGGGAGAGAGCCAGGCATCTTAGCGTCTCCTCACGAGTATCTTCCACCATGCACAAACCATTTCTCACCCTTCCCTTCAAGCGTGTTTGGCTAGAATTAAGCAAGCCCGGTTTGCATATTCGGAGCTTGGCTTGGCACTATTTTTAAATATCAACCCCTTTCCTGTGCTGTGTCCTCACTGAGCAGGGCATAAGGGTCAGGGGTGAGAGTTCAGGAAACCAAGACCACGGAGTCCACACTGAACAACGGCAGAGGCCAGCCCAGCTAGCACTTGGTTTCCTGACTTCTAGGTCTCAGAGCCACAGACAAGTGAGAAGTATTTCAACCTGGGGCCCAGGGAGTCAAGCTGATGTCTCAGCCTTCTCCATATTCTTGCTGGGACAATTGAAGATGGTGGCTGACATGAAACATTGCATTCTGAGGCTAGCAGTTTGGAGAGACGTTTAAGGGGCCTTTTCTTACAGTGTTTATGAGCTTTCTACAAAGGCTAATTTATTTATGCCCATAACTCAAGGTAAAGTCCATGGAAAACATTGGGTTTTTTGCCATGCCTAGTGTCTTTTGCACCCAGAGACATGTGTTTGCAGGGATGGGTCGAGCTGCACACAGAGCCCCCACAGGACTTGCGGTACTGTTGGCAGGGACAGGATCGAGTGCCAGAAATCAAAATACTAAGCCCTTTGTCACTTTCTCGAGCTAAATGTCAAGAAAGCAATTATGGGTGACCCGGAGGCTTGCAGTGTGGAATAAGCGAGCATCCAGGGGACTGTGCACAGCTCCTGGTTGCTCAGGCCAGGCTGCAGGAAGATGGCAGGGTGGGAAGGAAAGGGCAGGCAGAGTCGTGCCAGCTTTTGATGCAGGTGTGCATGTTCCCAGATGCTCATGGCAGAAGCAAGGCCAGACTCAGAGTCCCAGGCACCCAGGTGAGGATTTCTTCCCATTGTGTGTGTGGTTTTCTACCACCAAGAAACTAATGAGCAATATCTCTTCCCAAGGACCCTGGCTTTTAAGAGAGTCTCATTTGCCAGACAGCCGTAACTGTCAGATAATCAATCACTCATTTCCACTCTAAACACCAGTCAGTGGTATACGTGCCAGCCAGGGTCCCCTGGCG